CAATGGAGTCTTGCAGAAATCATATTTGGAGGAGAACCTTGAATAAATTATTCGCTAACCATATGTGAGCTGAATGGCCTCTTGTTTGTAACCTCTCTTATGATCGTCTGTTTTCACTAGGTGAGATGATGGTGGAAAGCAATCATCCTCTTAAAAGCCCAAGAGAGATATATAAGATAAGATCACTTTATTAGCCCTAAAATTAGTCTTTTCACATAATCCAGCTTGCTCTCCATGAGACACAGACAGGGAGAGCACAGGGTCAGCCATTTATACAGCACCCTTGGAACAGCTGGGGTTAAGGGTCTTGCTCAGGGGTGCAACAGAATAGGATTCCTCTGCCGGCCACGGGATTTGAACTGGCAACCTTTCAGCCACAGGGGCAGATCCTTAGCCACAGTACCACCGCTCCACCTCCATATCTTTGGTGTCATTACTGCTGCCTCATGATTACAGGTTCCCGGCTTTGATTCTGGCCTCCAGCATTTTTCCACATGAAGTTTGCATTTTGTCCCCACATTTGCATGGACCTTCAATACGTTTTCTAGCAAACAAAGAGGTGCTGGCTACGTTTGCCAGGCTTTCCCAGATTGTCCCTTCCTCCCTTGATCTGGTGCCCCAGGAGTGTGGTCTCCCCTTGGCAAGTCCTGCCTTGCTCCCTGTGGGTGTTGGGTGGGCTTTGGCCTCACCCTGACAAGTTCCAGCTTCACTGCTCGCTGATGATGAATGAATATGTACTGCAAGTGTTATACATGGATGCAGTAAAACTATGTACTGTTATCATCAGCAATGATGATCAAAGACACTAAAGTGTCTCTGTTTTTTGCCTCCCCCTCCAAAACACTTGAGGTTCTAATTAACGTTTGTTTTCAAAGGTCAATAAATACTATGGTGATGTGATACATTTACGACAGCATCTAAGCTCAATAGTTCAACAATTAACCGGTGTGACAGAGTAAGAATTCATGTCCTTATTATTATTATGCATTTGCAAAGTGTGGATTTTAGGAGTATCTTTGTGTCTCAAACAGGCTGTGGGCCTGCCTTGTGCCCATTATGGGCTTTGGGTACAATTGATCTGTACCAGGAATAAGCAGCCTACTGATAATGGATGGATAGGAACCTTTGTGCAGTATGTTATGCCATGTTAATTTGTAAAGCTAAAAAAAACTTCCTGGAAAGGCCCTTAGATTGTTTCACAGTCTATTGCTTTGTGCCACAGGGGTGGGCAGTGATAAAAGCGAAGAGGTCACAGCACAATATATTCATCTGGGAGAGCTGGTAGGGTGGAGGCAGCCCCTTCAAAGGCCTTACAAGCAACAGAGACAAAAGAACACGTCTGCAGAGTTTTTATCCAGACTAATGGAGAATGTGTGTTTGTGCTGTGTTCATCAATGATTGCACCCTCATCAATCATGGCTTAGATGCTTCCATTACAATGTACCACAACCAGCCTTTCTGCTTACGCAGAAATAATCCCTATGGCATGAGAGCAAGAGGGGACTCAGCTTTTAAATGAAAATGATCAATTTAAGAGGTCAGATGCCTGTATTGACAGAAAAGAACAATATCTGAAGGCTAGTATAACACCATATAATTTATATATCAATCGTTTTTCATCTCAAGGAATGATACAGTGTTATTAATAAAATTTTACTGCTCTTTGGGGTTTTCATTTCTTTAATATTCTTTTTTTAAAATACAGAACAAACTTGCAGAACTGTAGGACCTTCACTGCTGAATGTGATGGGCAACATTTATTCTGTAGTAACTGGTATAGAAACAACTTTAAGACTCATTTTCATACTATTTCACATAACTTATTCTAAGTACAAATCTATTTATTCTTATACAGAACCCGCTCCAATATTGAACCATTCTTTTATTGATTGTTATGTTGCTATGGCAATGTTTAGCAGATAATTCTAAGACGTACAATGAAAGTTGAATTGCAATCAAAATAATTTTCAGTGGTAACTCCTGTTCCCTGGGTTTTTAGCAAAAAAATAGTTAAAATTGTTGTATTTATTCCTTCTAGTCTTCAGACATTCACTGCACTTTTTCTTTGTACAATAAGCCAAGTGGATAATTTACTAATTTTACAGTATACCTGTGATCAAAGCAATTTTCTGTCTTCCCCATCTGCCATATTTAAAGTAGATATTGTTAAAAAGACAGTGATGCTTGCTTTAGCTGATCTAAACATCTAAACCACAGTCTGCCCAATAGCTCAACTCGTTTGCTAATTAAGGAAAGCTCTGAGGTTCCATGCTCATCTCCTTTCTCTATTGCAACACCAGAGAGTCTTAATTTCATTAAGAAGAGACCTTCCTTTAGAGGGGTCATGAGGGAGCTGTTGCCTAACCCTATATTATATTATAGCGATGACAATATTGATTAAATGCACTGCAACACATGCTGAACACACTTTCTCATTGGCATCTTCCTTTTTTCTTGTTTTACTGCTCTTAGCATTTTCCATGCTTGGACTTTTATTTTCAAACGATTCATTTTGAAATACTGTAGGACTGAGGTCCGAAATGGAAAAGACCCTTGCTATATGCTGAACTACAACAAACAAAGAAAAACATAACTGTTCTGGCTTTCTCCCTCATCTCCCCCTGAAACTTACACACATTCGAGAAGTGTAGCAGGTGCTCCTGTAACAAAACAGGCTCCTTATTGGAAAATAAAGTCAAGTTGAGCTTGACTTTACATCTTAATGACCACAGCAGGTGGCAGTGCATAGAGCCAAACCCCAAATATCTGTTAATATCATTAATGTCCTCACACGAGGTAACAGTGACCTTTCACTGACAATTAGTGGCAGCTTATAAAAAAAAACAGAATGCTTTCTACACAACTGAGACAGAATTTCTCAAATCCTCCTTAACTGCTGCTTTAACACAGTTCACCTTTCTTTACAGGCATTTCCCCTTTGAGAAAGGACGAGGGATTCCCCTTTCCTGCAGCTGGAGCGTATAGTCAGGTGACAGAATGAAAAGCGTGCAAACAACGAGGAGCCTGATTTCAAACAGCCAATTCACAGGTCTGGGAAACTCCACAGCAACTGAGCACAGAGTGCAAAAGAACAAACCCAGGGAGTGATACTCATTTGGCAACCGCAAATGGGAATACTACCTTATTTACTTCTACAGAAATGCAATGGGATATGCCAACACAGGGCTGACTTCCCAGTTTCCTAAATGGCAGCCTGCCCATGTGAAAATACAGAATCCGTGGAGCAACACTGCTTCCTTTCACTGAAATTAGAACTCAGAAACAATAGCAGAGAAACATATTTAGAATGTAGAGAAACACATAATTCTGAATTAATAAATCAGTGGGCGCCAATCCTGATACGAATGCAATATCCTTTGAATGACTGCTTCTGACTTTTGGCACTTATTTTAAGCCCTGAGATGAGGCTCATCTCTATTTTATGTGACATATCCTTCTGCATAACCTGAAACAACAAAAGCTCATCCAGACTGACAGCAATGAGCAAGCTGACAAGTTAGAAAGTCTGAAGAAACATTACTGTCTGGATGGGATGTATAATTTGGGGTCTGAACACTGGACTGTTGGTGTTTTTTTTATTTCAGGACAGCAACAGTGTCTCGAATCCACAACATTACGTGCAAAAGAACCATTTAATATATATTTAGTTTATGGGTAGAAGCTGACAGATTTGAAAGAAACAATACTTGTTCAGGTAGGTATTTCACAAAATGTGTTAGTTTCTGTTTGCGTGTCTAGAATTCCACTGTCCCCAGTGCTGGGGGCCTGAGTTCACAGCAGCTCAGCAATGATAATAGCTGCTTCTCTGGTGCAGTGTAATCAGCTGTTTTTGACACTTCACTGATTACACAGCTTCCTAAATGGATTGAGGTAAAGGCAAACTGTGCATTTACACTGCATCCTGGCAGCAGCTCACCACAGGCGAAAATAACTATATTCAGATTTCTCCTTTGAAGTGCAAATGGTTATTTAATGTCAACTGTCATTATAAATTAATAGCATAGCATTCCTCTTTGCTTTGAAATAAGGTTTCACTAGCTTCTTTATTGTTCATCCTGTCTGTACTGGTGATCAGCTGTCTCAGTTTTACCATCTTTCGCTATGGGGAAATAGATTATTATTTATACTGGCAATATTCCAGTTGTATTATAAAGATTTTGATCAGGCTGCTTTTGGATCCTGAAACGTTTAGATGCAAAGTCTAAAAGGACACTGATAGGCAGAAAAGTGCAGTCAGGCTTCATCTGAATAACTTGGACTTCCCAGTTACTTTGAAGAACATGGTTGCCTCTTTTAAATCCTGCACCCTTTGTGTATGAGTTTTGTTTCACACTCTGTCTTGCAATTAAGGCAGGTCCAGTCTTTCACAGTGCTGTTTATAATGATCTGCCTAGATCTATGAGGGCTAGGCGTGCTCTATCATTTCACATCCCACCCAGTTTTACAAAGGTCCCCTGACAAACACAAAGCAGGCTGGTTACATAGCAATGCAGATTTCACAATGACTCTAGTCATTTTTCAGATGGTACAGGGAGGTACAGGGGAGAGACTCGCAGGGCGGACAGCCCCACTGCAATTCCTGTTTCTGTTATACTCTATTTTTTGCTCAACCAAACCAATTATAGTTTCAACCCAGTAGATGCTATTTAAAAGATGCCAATTGCCTAGATATAGTAAAATAGCTTCTCAGGCCATCCTCAGTGAACCCACAATAAAAAGATCAAAAATCAAACTAAAGCAGGAAACTATAGCAAAAATCAAACTAAGACAGGAAAATTTAAAGAGTTAATAAAAATGTTTTCCAGTCTGCTCCACCTTTTCTAACTCGCAATAACCTGAAGGCTTACCTTCAACAGCTCCAACCAAAACACAGACATTTCCCTTTCCCTTAACTGTATTGCCTGGATGTACAGCTTCATACTTTAAACTCAAATTACTATTCACGACGTGGGGAACAAATCTGGTGCAGAAACAAAAAATGCACTGAAACTAACACCTGACAGTTTATTCATTCTTTGTGTTCAGAACAACGCTGCATCTCTGCTACAAATGAGAAAAGGTAAGCATATCGGTTCTCTTGGTTTGTTGTGCCTCCTGTTACAGTGCTATAGAGAGCAGCACTGCGTATCCACAGCCATGATTCAATGCAGGAGATGGGAGATGAGACGGAAGTGAGGCAGGAGAAGGGAGGAAGGGAGAGGCAGCAGGCACTGTAGTACACTGTGTGTGAACTGCTGTGTTGAAGAGTAGAGAGCTCTGCTGTTTGTACTGGAAGATGGAAACTAGCTCTGTCATTGAACAGTGCCAGTATACTGCGCCTTCAAACAATGCTGAGAAACAAATAGCACAAGGGGCTTGTGAAGGAATATCCAGAATTCCAGGTATACATCTGATATACTATCAGAGTAGCGATATTATACACCAAGCTGTGGTGCAGAATTCAAGATGCTTACAAGAGCAAAATATCCTTACAGGTTAGATTTAACATGTGAAAGTCATAAGCTAAACAAAGAAGTCAACTCAATGGAAATATCACCCATCTCCTCTCACAGACATGTGCAGAGAGACAGCGCCTCATATTATCTAATGTTATGAAGGGGTCTTATTTAACAGGCAACTCCATACAGAGTTATTTGCAGCACCACTATACAAAGGAGAGTGTGAAACTCTGTCAGGAGTTGATATTAATTAACATGCCCCTCCTTAAAAAGTGATGTTTTGTTTCTTCTGCTTTTAAAGAAATTATCCAAATAAGGATTAGTCCTTATCTTTGCATAAAGTAGCAAGCATGTGCCCTCTAGTTGCCCCCCTACTTAGTCTATGTAGTGCAGAGTATCAAGAGTCATGCTGTCTGTGATTTCTGATACCAGGATTTAATGATGTAGAGGCTCAGGAGAGCTGCGGCTGTCTGCTCCCGCCTGCTAGAATGGGCTTCAGAAAGCAGGGAAGACAAGTGCAAAGGTCACGTAAATAGGAGGGCTGAGGCCCTTCACTTTGAACACCTGCAGAAAAATGAAAAGAAATGCAAACAATAAGTATGAGTATTAGAATCAAATGATTAAAAAAATTTAAGGGTAGAACTGTTACTCTGACTTTAATATTAATTATGAAGGTACTAATTATCACCACCATTATTAGCACTGATACTAAATTAACCATTCGTACAGTATAACGTGCTGCACAACCAAAATGTTAGATAGTCCATTTCCGCTCAGAATTAAAAAGCCATTTTAGAGAGAGCATGTGAAGACTATTGTGTGCTTTTTTGCATTTTCTTTGTGCAAACTGCATCTCTCTTTTCTGAAGACCTGGAGGTAAAATACTCTGGGTCCTGTGTGTGTGAAACTCCCTGGTCACATGATTGTCAGATGAAAAAACAAACAACACAGCATGTGAGAACAGACCCCGGGGGGGTCTCGATGTCAGTGTGCTAGGAGGCAAGTCTGTTTGTGTGCACCACAGGCTCATTGTGATCTCCAGCCACCTCGACTATACCTTGCAATCAACCCCCCCAAAATCTATTGGCAGGAGCTGCAATGACACAGGTGTCAGACACTCAGCCAGCCCCCCCACATCTCTTTGTCTCCCAGGGCCGACTGTCCATTAGCGTGAGTGCTCCAGGAGCTGATAATACATTTCGCAATCATCAGGGAATTTCAAAATGCTGTTTAGCATTGCAAGAAAGGAAGAGAAGGGAAAGAAGGAGATAAAATCTAATATGGACACAGTAATAATAATGTCTGTGGCACTGCATCATCATGTCTGACAGTAACATCAGTCTCTGCCGAATTTGAAGCATGCACAGATTAAGAATCAATCTATTTTGATCAATAAGCTCAAAATTGAAAGCAACTGCATTTCCACAATTACTTCACTTGATGTCTCGTTTGTGCAGCTTTCCAAGAAGAATATTTGCAAAGTCCAAAATGCCATTTCACAGCTGGGGGGTGCCATTTATGGTTACATAATAAGAAGCTACCTCAACTGGTGCAAAATGAGAGGCACTTTGTGGAGTGTGTGTTGTTCAGCCCTGTAATGGCAAAGCCAGCGATGTGCCAGGGGTGGCTGTACCTGGCTCTTGGAGGACCTCTTGGTGATGCCGAAGTCCTGACAGATTGGCCCAGTGCAGAACTCCTGCCACTGCCTGCCACTGCCAACGAGCCCCTGGACAGTAATCTGGTACTGCACACCGCGCTCTGACAGCAGGCTGAATGGGCGTCGCTCACAGGCCCGCAGCGAGAGGGCCGGGTCCCAGTGTTTCAGCCGCTGCCAGAGAGGAGATAGTCACGATCACTCAATACTGACTCGCACAAACAGGCTTTCAATTCCCCTCTTCACCCAGGGGAGAGCTCCAAGCAGACTACCACCACCCTACCCCCTCCATGTGTTAAAAGCTGGTTATTAAAACAGCAGTGCCACAAAGTCTTTACTGGGAATCTTTACTTGGATCTACTCTGTAGTTCATAACTGTTTTAAACTCTGGATGTCTGAGGTAAAACAGTTCCAGTGTTTTTAGGGTCTTAGTGGGAAACATTTGTGGAGAATACTTCTAGTTATCTCCGGAAAATTTCATTCCGCACTTTAATGGCAGGATGAGTGTCGTAATAGAATCTCCATTTTAAATTTGAAAATAGGAATGTTTTGTGTCTTGCCGTTTTAAAAGTAACAATAAAAAACTTTTTTAAGGCCTAAAGGCCCAGCATGTCACATGTAATGAAAAACCTGCTTTCAGTTGGTAAAGACAAACACGGGAGCTACATGTGAATAGCAGTGAAATATCTGCAGCCACTGTGCTGTTCCTGAGAAAGAGAAGGTTTGCTTTGACCTCTTCAGAAATATTAGATGTTTACTACATGTATGAATTATATGCTTTAAGAGCTCAGCTCAATTTAAACAAACCCAGGAACAGCAACTCAGTCGATCTAAATCAAACACTGAAAATAATAATAATTGCTTACACTTATATAGCACTTTTCTGGACACTCCACTCAAAGCGCTTTACAGGTAATGGGGACTCCTCTCCACCTGGATGATGCGACGGCAGCCACAGTGCACCAGAACGCCCATCAGTGGGGAGGAGAGCAGAGTGATGAAGCCAATTCATAGAGGGGGATTATTAGGAGGCCATGATTGGTAAGGGCCAGGACGCCGGGGTTACACCCCTACTCTTTTCGAGAAACGCCCTGGGATTTTTAATGACCATAGAGAGTCAGGACCTCGGTTTTACGTCTTATCCGAAGGACGGCGCCTGTTTACGGTATAGTGTCCCCGTCACTATACTGGGGCATTAGGACCCACACAGACCGGAGGGTGAGCGCCCCCTGGTGGCCCCACTAACACCTCTTCCAGCAGCAACCTTAGTTTTTCCCAGGAGGTCTCCCATCCAGGTACTGACCAGGCTCACACCTGCTTAGCTTCAGTGGGTTACTTGTTGTGAGTTGCAGGGTGATATGGCTGCTGGCGAATGAAGTGAAAACTCCTTTGTACATGAGCACAGATGTAAATCAAGTGCAGCTTAATATGTCCCCTTTCAATTTCTGACACCTAATTGTTCATTTAAGATAAAAACACGAAAGAAGAAAAATACTTTTCTTCCACGCAAAATCAATGAGACTCTAACATTAGGCAATGTTCTATAAAATATTCTCAGTAGTGTTTTGAGGATCTGTGTCTCTCTCAGACTCCTTTCACCTGTATGGAGAAACCGTGACTGTCGCAATCCTGGAGTCGAGTTGCTTTCAGAAGGAAGTAGAAACCATACAGAGCAGCAGTAAGAGTGCAGTACTGGGGTTCCTGCAAGAAAAGACAGCACTCCTGGGAACCGTGTCAAGTCATGTGAAGAACCAAACACTGCATCCAAAAAGACCCCCAGAAAGGTACTTGCAATAAAATGATACTTATGCAAATGTTTTTTGTCACCCCATAGTTTACACCTGTCTTCTTTTAACAGCACTTGCTGTGTGTTAATTCTTATATTGTTGATGTTCTGAGCTGGTATGTGAATTTAGCCTTTCTTTGTTCCCTCTTGTAGAAGAGCTCTTAGAAAAGAGTATCTGTTGGGGTGTTTGGACAGCTGAGGCAGGGGATCAGATGAGCAGTCTTCAAACTTAGGGATATCCAGTTAGATCAGTGAAGGAGTAAGAGTACAGCAAGAGAAAAGACAACAAGACATGACTGAGCTCTACAGTCTCTATTACTTGTTCCTGTTAGAAAAGCCACAATTTATCAGGTATTGTGCACTGAAAAGTCTCAAGACGAAATTTGAGAAATGCAACTGTATGTTTTACATTTGTTGAACTATTGAAATTTCCTTTTTAAACCCATCAGCCAGAGTTAGCCACTGTTATTTGTTTGGATGCATTTCTGTTAGGGACCAGTGGTTGTCTCACATTCAACATCAATTTACAGGACTGGCTCACCTGTGGTGGATTAGTTATTTTATGAATAGCCATACTTTCCCTTATGAAGATTTATGTCCTCTTTTGATTGTATTAGGGACTCAGTGCCTGACACCTTGTGGGGAAGTGTGGGTTCTAAGACCTCACTCCTGTTGTAAATAGTAGTTTGTAGATATAAGGTTGTATGTTTTGCCTTTACATTTGTGTCTTTTAAGGTTCTTCCTGTTCTCCACCACCACAGCACTAAAAGAAATGTGACCTCCCTGACTCTTGCTTGTACAAGTTGGTGTCTGCAACAATTACTGTTTAGATTGAACATTTAACCTTTAACTATATCACTACTAACACTCCTCTATTTGAAACATCATTTTAGAATGTAAATGCTTCTTTCAGTCCTGATCTATCTGAAATTCCACTGGTATTCTGAAAGAGAAAAAGATATTAATTGCACTACTGGAAGTAGAAGAGTGATATAAGGAATAAAAATGATGGATAGGGTCTGAGAATCAACTTAAAAAGAGTTATATTTAGGAGCTATTGACAAGCCAAAGGGTTTCTTGGTTACATACCCTCTCTATGATCAACCCAAAACGCACAGACTGACTGGAGAAATCTGTTACAGGCATATCCCCTCCACTGTGCAGCTGACATCCGAGAAAGAAAGAGGGAGAGTAAGTGAGAGAGAGAAATGTAATCAAAATACAGTTCATATCCGTCTTATCTCGGGGGATCAGAACTCCTCCCTTTGCTTTCTAAACTATATTTAGAGAAGTGCAGCTCAGTATAGTACTTGGTTTAAGCCTAATACCTGGTTTCCCCTTGTCATGCTGGTTTATGAACTCCTCTCCTTTTGAAGTTTAAAAGTTTGTGAGCAGAGTTAAAATCTTCCAGTCAGATTTCAGAAGTTGGTCATTAGTGGGATAACTGACCTCTGAAGAAAACCAGGTTGTTGATATAAGTGATGCTGGTGGACCACTACGTGATACGTTTCCCTCTAGACCAGAAATACCAGAACTCAATGACCCAGTATGGTGACAGGGGACACTCTTTAGTAAGGATGTTCTGTCCTTTGAATATAACGTTAACCTAAGCTCTTTATTTTTGCTCATTAAGATGTCATGGAACTGTTCTTAAGAGAACCTGTTAACCCTAGTGTCCTGGTTAAATTCCACTCTGGGCTTGTAAATTTGGTTTCTCTAAATATATGGTATTTCAAAAATTAGAATTAGAATATTGCAATTGGCCATTTTTACTTTTCATACTCATATTACCTATTTCATTTGCTTTACAAAAGGTCAATCGGGCAGCACGCTAATGTGGTGGTAAGCACTGCTTCTTCACAGCTCCCGGTCCTGTGTTCAATGCCAGAATCAGCTACCTTCTGCTCAGAGTGCTTCTTCTCCTTATACGTTCATATGGACTTTCTCCAAGTGATTCTTTCGAGATCCTGCTAGGCTATTTGGAGTGTCTTCAGTATCCCTGTGAGTCTGTAGAATGGACAGGTGTCTTGCCTAGGGTCTAATCCTGCCTCCCACTTAATGCTTCCAGAATAGCCTCAGGTATGCTTTATTCCTTGGAATTACCTGTTTTCTGATAATGCAGTCTAATGCAATGATCTGCTTATACCATACATCTGATGCCTTGCCATGGTTTCTCAGTACTTAACAACATTGTCTAAGCTTCTTTGACCATTGCGGTTCTGCGCGGGCTCGTGCCCTCGCCGCTCCACCCTGCCGGTTCGTCCTGCAACACCTGGGGCGCGAACCCAGGTTTCTGGCCTAACGCAACAGGGAACCAGTCGAATGACCTAAAGGAGACCTCCCTCAGCCCTGGTGGCTGGGGTCCCTGCTACGCGCAGGGAGGGCGATGACATCACCGCTACACTTCTACCTATATACCTATAGCAAATCTCAAACAGTCAGACTGGGTAAGAAAAGGGAGTAAACAGAGGATCTTGCTAACCTTCCCAGAGCCAAACTGTCTGGTTGAACAGCTTATACGTCCACACAAACCCATTCCCTCATTTTCATTCACCATTTTTTTCGAGACCTTTAATCAATATCTACCAAAACCCACTCATACCAGTTTAGCAAATGTAATGCAAAGGTGATAAAGCAACATCTTTTCCCTTCAGAGAAAAGTGATTTAGATCCGGCAACTGACAAGAATTAAATACACACGTACTGTATACAGCGGGAATATATTTAACCTCATTGTGTTCTCCCCCCTCCAAACCTACCATATAGATAATCACCAATTCCTTCTCCTCCTGAGTGAGCAGATTTATGTTTTGTTCTTGATGCCACCTGGTGGACAATTAAAGGAAGAAATCTGGTGGCCACACTTGTGTCTGTAACACACTTCCCAGTACATTCTAGCTCACCCTGAAAGAAAGGCCAAAGGGTGGAAGAGCAAGACTCGTTTAAAAAACTCACTGCATAATAATGCCTGGAGAATAGCAGCAACAGCCAGGACTGGGGGAGCACATTGATCTGCTGAATCTCTTCCAGATGAGCTCCTGAAATACACAGAAAAAGAGCAGACATTATCCCCATGTTGCCTTCAGTCAATGATACTCTGAACCACAAAATGACACACACAAGTGACAAGACGGATGGCACATTTTCAACATATCCAAAAAAAACATGTCTCTGCTTAGCACAGCAAAGCTGGGCAGCAGGGTTACTTGGACACAAGTTAGCAAATTGTTTCTCAACTCTTCTGGAGTTCAAGTGGTTACTGGAAATTCTTGTAGGTTTCATTACACATTTTTCAAATTCCCAGGCTTGATGTTTTTATGCTCCTTGGGTAACTGGATATAAAGGTTACATGATGTTGGATAAGACTGAATTAGGAGTGAGGGACAGGGGCAGCCACTGTACTCCTTGGCTGTCATGACTAACATGATAGATTGTAAGTTTCATAGAAAAGTACTAAGACCTCTACATGTAGCCTCATAAAGCCCAGAAATGAATGGGGTGGGGGGGGTTCTCTAATAAGAGAGATTTATTAGAATATAAGAGACATTTCTGAACCCTTAGAAAACACTACATTACAGCAGAGAGTTCAAATCTGGCCATCAGCAACAGTGAAGAACTAGAAATGACAATCTGGAATGCTTGCATAGGAAATAAACCTCTTAAGGGTTCATTTAATAATTCCATCTGCGAATATACAGGAATTCTTTTTACTAGGTCAGCTTAACAGTGTTATGGTTTCAATTGTAAATTCTGTACAGATTATTAAAGCCACATTTGGAGAGCATTCCTTCTGTGCTAATTCATCCATGGTCTTCCAGCACACAGCACACAAATTAATCCTTTATGTCTGTTTGCAGCTGGCTGACAGAATGGATATTGGCAAATCAAAATGCTTTTTTTATTTTCCCAGGCTGCAGCTACTCAAATTACTTATTTAGGTCAAAAGACGAAGCATCTGTCTTTAGTTTGGAGCATTGCATTAACACATTTATGCACTAGCAGAAGAAACTTGGCTGAAATTAGGTAGAGAGTTCCAAATGGAATTAGTATCTCTATTTAATCCATCGTGTCCATCTGTAGCTCCCTACAAACCAACAGTCCTAGTCCCAGTCTCTGTTTTGCATTGCCATTATATTCTCCAGTTGTTAAACTCAGAGCACATACACTCCAAAAAGCCAGTGTACATCCAGGCAATTACCAGGCCATTCAGTAATTCTACAGTAATTGAATCTAATTAACCATACAAGACACTTCAAATTAGCAATGCAATCCATGGGTAGGAATGGCAGTTGGGAATTAAAATAGGCCTTGAAAAGGCTGATATGGTCAAATAAAGTAGAGACTATTTGAAAACCAGTCAACTAAAGCAAACCAGGCAAATTCACTTACTTATATGGAAGCAGTCTAAAAATACACCATTTACTATCACTAATAAAAAAATGTTCCCTTCAAAAGAGGCCAGGGCTCCAAAACTATAAAACATCTTGTCATGTTTACATAACTTACACATTTTCATGAAATATGTGAATATCACATCCTATAAAAATATGCATTTAAGATTGTACATCTCATTGAGCTCTTAGTTTTATATATTCTGATTATCTTTTAATTCAACAAGGATTGCAGTGTACTAACAAAAATTGTAACAAGACCAACTGATGATTTTACAGCAGTCACAGAACATGAAAGTCATTAAGATTCTGCTCGACCTTTGCAAGATCAAATCGGTGCTTAAAGAATTGAGAGATGTCTTTGTTTCACTTTTCTTTCAGATCTTTAACCACGTCTCATTAGATTTATCATATGCACAAAGGAAGGTTTACAAGCTTGCTCAATTTAGTGTCCTCTTTAAAAGCTTCATGGTCACGATACAGTTCTTGCAGACTGAAGTTTCTCTATAATCAAACAAGTTCACAAGATTAAATTAATAAGTCCGCAACCCAGAAGCTAACCTAACTGCTTGTGTCATATTTTAAATGGCTTCTTTGACGTTTCCTGCAGCATGTAAAACATTTGCTAATTTAAATTTAAAACTGAAGACTGAGTTGGCCAGCCTAAGATTTTCCATGTTTTTTTTTTCCTGATGAACTCCTTGGTTGCACAGTCTGTATGTGCTACACGGTGAAGCACTGCCTGATGTGTATGAAAGCATTCTCATCTACATTCACTGTCAGAATGTTTCTGTTCCATTAATTTAATTAAATGTATTTACTTGTAATTAACTGTAATTGTGATTCATGTAATGTGATTAAACTCCAGAATTCATTCTGCTGCTGCTCTCATTACTTACATCATCAATAAAGACAAGTGACAGGTAGATCAGTTCCAGAGGTGGCCATCCATTCCCTTTACATTACCTCCACCATGTTCCACAGACGAGGTGCTGTTTGTTGCAACATCTGCACTTTTCCTTTCTCTGCACTTTGGCAAAGGTTTAACTTGGTCTCATTGGCCCATAAAACCTTGTCCTGAAGTTCTCCTGGATCACCTTTGTACTTTCCAAATTCCAATCTGTTTTCCTGTTCTTGGTGCTGACGAGGCTCACGTCGTGTGGTGTAGCCTGTGTAGTTCTGCTGTCTCAGTCTTCAGCAAACTGTGGATTGTCACACCTTCACCACCACACTCTGGGGTGTGTTGGTGATTTCACTGACAGTTGTTTTAGCGTTTTACTTGACAGCTCTGATAATTTTTCTGTCATCACCTGCAGATGATTTTCTTGGCTGACTAAGACTTATCTGAACGGTAACTATACCTGTGGTTTCTTTTCCTCAGTGTATTCCAAATTGTTGATTTTGAAATGCACATTTTTTGTGCGATGGTCTGATTGAAATTTTCTTTTCTATCAGTCTCAAAATTGCCTGTTTTTCTAGAATAGAAAGGCCTCTATGTTTTTTTTTCTTTCATTTACAGACTTCAAACACTGAAATCAAAGTGAGAAATGCTCCTTTATGTGTGCATTACCCAACAACAAAAATTCAAAAGACTCACCTTCCAGCTAAATGTTCAAATACTTTCTCTCCTTAAAAATAAAGTGTGTCAACATTATCAATTTGTTTACTTGACACAATAGAATAGAACAGAATTTAATTTAAAATTTAAAAATACAATACTTACAGGTTGTACTTGTCAATTGCTATTTTTCATTAGAAATGATTATTAAGAATTAGGGTGAAAATAGCAGCTTAGACTTTGAAGTCCCAACACCTTTGATGGTAAACTGTAGTTTGAGTTAAGCATGCTGGGAAAGAAGCAAGAGTTCTTCCTCATTTTCAGATCTATATGTGTCTGAAAGCCCGTATGTCAACACCATGTGAAGTCTGGTGTGAAGGGTTGTAGCCCTGAACCACTCACTCACGCTCAGTGATCCCATGCAAGCGCACTGACTGGAAGAGAGCCGTGAACGTCTGACCCACATCCTGTTCCAGGAACACACCTGTCTTGGGTAAACTGGAGAGAGGGAGCAGAGCAGATCTTAGTTAAGAGAGCGCCAATCTGGAGAGGCAGAGGAAATGCAGGCATATGACACAATCACAACTCACATCACTATTTCCCATAACCTCTTACTGTTGTCACAACTTTTAAAGCAATTCTTGTGAGTACCCTTTTTTTTCTTTTTGGAGGCTGTAAATGTTGCTGCACACTGAAAAACAGAGTGTACTAACAAAATATTTTAGATGTTTAGTCATGACTCTATTTGCATGTGATGGCTCTTACACTTGTGAAGACGTATTTGCACAATCTATCCATCGCAGCAATCCAGAGCCTATCAAAGAAGCAAAGATGACACCCTGGATAGGATGCCAGTCCACCGCCGGACACGCACAGTAGCACACGTTGACTATTTACAGACACTGATCAACTTAGCCAGCTTGTTTTTGGAAAGAGTTAGGAGCTTGGAGCACCCTTAGAAAATCCACAGGAACATGGGGTGAACATGCAAAAGGTGCAAGTTTCCCCCATGTTCCTGATATGCAAGGGGCCCCAGGTTACATTTGAACCAAGGATCCAAGAGCAGTGAGACAGCAGTGCTAAGTGCCATGTCACCATGCTATCAATACCTCAAGTATAAATATCTAACATTATCATGGAAAAGGTACAAAATCAAGCCATAAAGCTGCAGCTGATTGCTTTCCCCTTTCAGGTCCGGCTTTGCATTTATGATACTTTTATTTTTTTCCGAAATATTTGTTTTTTGTCTCTCCCTGTGCAGTACCACGTTCTCTGAAATAATTGTTGAAACCGTTTCCGTACAGCGTCTCTTAAGCCCTCATTTGGCCAGTTACATGCTTGTCTAAAGTTCAGGACGTGTCATTTGGCCTTCAAGTGTAGCGGTGTAGCAGGCAGGGCAATGAGGTAGAGGAAGCACTCTGTTGTTCAGCGTGGGAGGGCGGCCCAGTCTCGCCTTCGCTTTCACTGAGATCCGGAGGTGTACAAACAGGAAGCAACAAACTGCGGAAACCACAACAGGTGGCAAAAACATCTCCTGACTCCTGAGTGGAGTCACTCTAACTGCTCTCACAAGTCAGGGAGCTGTGGAGTTGCCTGTCGAGAGGTCTCCAGGCTGGGGGAGGAGCTGCGCAGTGAGTCAACTGGCTGGTTGACTCTCCAGGCAACGTAGCATGAAAACTGACGGACTGTGCACGGGGAAAGAAATAGCACCTGAAACATGTTAGTAGAGCATTTCTTCCCAGGCACACAGAGCTCTGCTGTATGAAGGCAAGTAAGTTTCATCTAGAAATAATATTTTCGAAATCTCATAACAAAACACAGTGGAACTCTTGATGCAGTTATCCCAAAACATGTTATTTACACAATGGGTGCAGAAACATAATTTATATTTATGAAGTGATTCTTATTTCCTCTGCTGGGAAATGTCAAATCCAGGGTATTATTGCAAAAACATAACAAAATCTGCACTCTGCAGCATACAAAGAAAGCAAACAAACTGGAGTGCTGACATTTCTTTAATGCCCTGGGGGTTCCACTTTCAAAAGCGATAAGGGTTTAGAAGGAAGTGGCCCCTTCTATTCCTGAGTTCTGTACAAGACAGAACTTTTTCTTTTTGGGTTTTGCCCTCTGAGGTGTCCTTATGAGACATTAGCAAACAATGGAAGGCACAGGACAGAAACCACTAAATAATAAGCGCAGATAAACTGCATCTCTATGGTGGACCAGCAAAATATTTGTTTTCACAGTGACTAAGAAGACCTGTCATGACTTTCTCATTTCCCTTCTGAGGATGTCCAGACCTATTATGGATGTGAGTCAGCGCACTCCAGCCCTGCAGACTCCCTCGTCTCCCCACCCCATAGTCCCAGCCAAACTGTACACACTGCTGGGACCTGACTAACGGTGCTCTAGGATCACACACACTGAACAGCCTTAAACAAAAACATGTACACTACTTTAGAAAAATGCACCCCATTGACATTATCCTGTTTATCAGTTTATCAGGAACCTACATAAGACATTTCATTTCCTGTTCCAGTAAAACAGTATCTACAGCTGATTTGACATTTTTGTTCAAATACCCACAGCAATATACAGTACATAGGGAACTAATTCATGTTATCAGACCTTAAGCTTCTACTGTATGTCTTAATATCTCTGTAAGCCCGTTTATTTAAAAGAAGGGATCAATGTGCTGTTTGCAGAAATATAGGAACATTCTTTTTAGAGCAGTGCTTCAGTTACAGAAACACTTTGTATTCTTTACTCACTGCTCATTCAAAAGAATACCAGGTGGCAGTCTTAAAATAGCTACAATGCAAACTTGAGGAGAATGTGTCACACAGGGCTGGATGGTGGCACTGCAGTAAGCAGAGACCTGATGAAGAAGGTGAGGATGGAGCTGTGAGAGGGGAGGGTCTGTACACCAGGGTTGAGCTGCAGGAAGACCCAGTACAGCACTGTCCTCAGCAGCTGGTACTCACTGGGTGTGAACAGCCTGCAGGGAAGCAGACAAAAACTCAGGGCAGGAGTTTCACAATCTGACTGGATTTAAAACATACTGAACCATATTCCTAAAATATTTCCTGCTTTGACAGTAGTATAAAAGGGCTCATTATGTATGAGCCTTCATTATGTCATGTCATTATGTACATTGAACTTGATACGTGACATCACTCCTCTCTCAGTAGGACCTCTCACAGGGGGGGCTGGCCCTTTGGCGCAGTACATTGTTGTTTCAACTGTGTGGATCTGGTACAATGAGGTATGTTGGAGACACTGGTTTACGTTTGGGGTTTAAGCAAATGTACTTCAGTTTTGAGATTCTACCGAGACTGACATCACAGCATCAGTTATTTTGAAAGCAGAGCATTAACTCATAAAGCATTGACTTACAAAACTCTATTGATTTTATAGTTTAGAATGTAAAAAGTAAATATCGGAAACAGAAAAAAGAGACAGCAACAACTCCAAAGTGTAAATAGCGTAAAATAAACCAAACTCACCCTTTGAACAGACAGAAATAGGAATTGCAGAGGAGTGAGATGAAAGAGAGAATTTCAGAGGGTCAAGATGGAGAAAGGATGGTTAATAGTGGAATGAGACAGATGGGGGCAAGGTGGAGGTACCTGAGACAGTGACAGGGAGATGAGGCATTCAGGAAAGTGAGAGTCAGGGGAGTAGCTACCTCGGGGAGTGTAGGGTCTTCTGCAGCAGCTCCAGGGAAAGGTCTCGCAGGCTGATGTGAAATTGAAGCTGAGTGACCAGACTGAGCTCCAGCCAGCGCTCACAGGCTCTCTGAAGCTCTGCCTCTCTGTACTGGAAAGACATACAGACAGACAGGTCAGACAGAAGAACTTAGAAGACCATTATTTTCATATTTCAGCACTACAGTGTCAGTGTTTCAGTTTTCAGTTATAATACAAAGATGTTGTAAATTAACCTTTTGTTAAAGACATTATGGGGCAGGGTAAATAATCATAAAGATACATCTCATTTGATAAAACATTGTATTTAACGATCTTTAATACAGTACTATCGAGCTGTGTTTTATGATGCATTTTATGAAGCTGTTTTCTAAATCTAGATAGCTCCCTCTACTGTTCCAGCTGCAGAAATACAGCTTTTCGCTCTTTTCATCCCCATCTCCTTCTCTCTGCCCTCTCCATCTCCATTTGTCCCTCTAACCCCCTCCCCTCTCCATCCCCCTTTTTTTACCCCTCAATCTTTTTTCTCCGCAGCTGTGTGTGTCCTGTGTGCTCCACGAATCCCCGTGCCCTCGCTCACCTTGCTGGCCACACTGTGGAAGTGACACACTGTGCAGGGGCTGATGTTATTCATCATTGCAGACAAGCACCTGGCAGATACACACTGAATACTGTCACAAGGGTTGCATGCACACATGCAAGTTGTTCAGATTGACTGGGCATTCTTTTGTTCTCTAGATTTATATGGGGATATAAATATACTACTGAATACACACTTATGTTCTCCACACAGTGAATCATCTTATTCAATTACATTCAAATTAGGAAGCATGGAAGGCAGCAATATACATTTTGTCTGTCTACCAATTAAACACAGTTGAGAGCAATTAAACCTCGGGGGGAGACACAAGGACTGAAAGACAGAGAGAAACATGTTCTTCTGACATCTCACCTGCGGAAGAGCAGGGGCATTCCCAGCAGTGCAGCAGCAGACAGCACTCCCTCCACCCCCTGGAGCTGCACCCTGGGCTCGGAGCTGTACAGGCTCCGGAGGGCCACAGACAGAGCTGGGGACGACAGAGGCCACAGTGCCATCAGTCACCATTCTCCCTCCCCGTTCTACTCCCAGTGTGCGCTCTGAAGACGAGGAGAGTGCAAGGGCACACACTGGGGTGCACATACGTCCAAATGTTAGTGATCTGTCAACTAAAGAAGCCTTCAGGAGGCCTGCTGTATGTGTGTCTGTAATACAAAACATCATCGCTAATGGGAAGCATTCTCTTCAGCAGCCTTTCACATCTGCTGTGTAAGCTGGAGGTAATGGGAAATTATGAAGCTCTCACTGGATTCCACAACACCTGCCAATTCAGATCTTTTCTAATTTCTTTCTTTATCATTTCATGGCACACACTGGGCCAGAGTAGACTTTAGCAGTGCTGGGCCCGGGGGGTGATAGGAGAATCAAATGACACAGGCCCAAGAAAGAAGATCCTCCTGAAGAGGCTTCAAGCGAACAAAAAGGGGATTTCATCAGTGGATTGTAATAGACATTCTGGGGGAAGTGGATGTTTATCCAATGACAGGGAATTTTTAATTTTCAAAGAACCATTTTAAACTCGCTGTGTGGTGTTAAGCATACTACTAAAATTTACCTGACTAGCAGTGTAGTTAAAGTTGTGCAGCCTCATGCTTACAATACAGTTAAAAGTACACAGGTAAAGTTCAATACAGTTAAACAGAAACACTGAAAGTCTGATCTTATTGCTAAAAATAATGCTGTTTCACCCAGTTAGTGAACACTGGTTGACACAATACTTTAGAACAAATGGTGTTTAGTCAGAGGTAGTAAGGGATATGCTTCCAGCTGGATACATGTTATTTAGCACCACTAACAGATACAAAGCCTGTTGTACCCTCTTTAGAGATGGTGGGATCGTTGACTGGTAGCCTCAGTAAGAGGGGATTTGAGGAAGCCGGCTTGCTGGTGCCGAGTGTGAATCTCCTGCTGGGTTCACTGCCCATTCGGTCACTCTTCCTGTCTCCCCTGCTGCCCGGGCAGTCTGCAACACACAGACATGCGAGACAGGAGCCACTTACCTCAGTGTCCACAGGGGAATTTCATCATTTTTATTAAAGAGTTCAATAGTTTTGTAGGAAAGGGGAATCCAAGCCATTGATTTAATGTGATGTCTGAAGGATGGAAAACAAGAAGACCTTGTTCTGAAAATTATTGAGGAGTTTAATGCCTGAGCTGGGACTCTCTCTTTCTGCCTGACTCACGTGACTAACAAAAAAAAGGATAACTCTCAAAGAAAGAATTTGAAACTATTTAACATGTTATTGTTTTATTTAACCATGACCAGGGTAGGCAAAAAGTTCAATGAAGAGTACAGGTTGTGGCTTTTCAATATTCCTTAGAAACAAATGAGGCTTTAGTGCCACAACCCGTGGGCTTTCTACTAATTACACAGCCTAGTGTTGTTGAAAAATGTACAGAACTTAAATGATTTAATGATACTTTTAAGAGCGCTAGCTTCATTCTTCTCACAGCATGGTGTAAGTCTGGGCATGCTGATTTAAAAAAATCAACTGAGGAGAGTGCACTAATGTTCATTCAGTCATAAGCAAGGTACCACAAGGGAAAACTGCCAAACTACCACACAGATTTACTGTGGTAAACTTTCAGGGCAGAGCCATAAACAGCATTTCAGCATAACATTTTTTCCACTTTCACTGAGACGCGCTGCGTCCTGTCTCTTGACGGACTAAGTGCTTTCTTCTCCAAGTTACTGCCAAAAAAAACAACAGAGCTCAATCTTCGTTGTCATGGCAAATGTACTTTGAAAAAGCTTCACTGCACTGTGCATTGACCACTGAAACTGTTGGTTTTTTTCACTGCTGGATATCATAAAGGCAGGCATATCTGGCACTGGCCTCAGTGGCCAGAGCCAAGAGAAAGCCTGACAAGCTGAAAGAGACACTGCCAATATTTGGCAAAGAGCACATGGAAGAAGAAAAAAAAGACTAAAATGAAAAACGGTCTTCTATTCCATATTTATTAATTTCATTACCAACACTGCCAATTCAGCATCACCATGGCTTGTAATGACACAAAACGTAACGGCAATATGTTTTGTGCATAACAGGCATAACCAGCAATAGATTCCGACTGGCACACAGATCTAGGGAGAGATTAAACATACAAATACAAACACAAATACTAGACAGACAAGCAGAACGGATACAGAGGACAGGCTGACTGGAAGTCAGACTGCCCGAGAGACGGAGGGAGACCTGTGCCGTTGGACGATGTCTTCACTCTTTGTTCCTTGGCTGTGGTGTACAGCTCAGTGAGCGTGACTGACTTGGTGAGATAGGGGCAATGCAACTCCCAGTAGCTCCCCAGACACTCCAATATCACATCTGTCAGCAGAGGCACGCAGACACCATTGAAAGAGAAGCACAAAAAAATGAGCGGAAGCACAAGGAAACAATCAAATGGAGTCAAGTGCTGGCTGCTGTCACAGATGAGTAATGAGGAGAGATCTTTTAATTCTCTCTTTTGGCATCAAATCTAATCAAAACGATCTGGGGTTTTGATGGCTCTTCAGTTTCTGTGACTGCAGCAGTTAAGGATGGAAAACGTAAAAGCCAAGACTATCTGACCGGAGTCCTCTGTATTTGAGTTTGAGTAGGTCAGGCACGATAAGGCAGGCTTCCCTGGCTGCTGTGCCAGAGAGGGGGAAAGGAGTAAGGGAAGATGGGGGAAAGAAACAGGAGAAAGAGAGAGAGATGAGGGGAAGACAGAGCTTTTGAGAGACAGCGAGAGGGACAGAAATCCAGAAAGGGGCAGGGGAGATTCAGGGGGAGAAAGTCAGAAGAGACAGAGGCAATTGAACAGGAAAGGAAGGGAGAGGCTGACCTGGGCTCGTATTGTGAGCGACTCTGCGGGAGTAAAGGTAGAAGAGGTCTTCAGGGGTGGCTGGCCCAGGTGACCCTGTGAGCCTCACACTGTATATATGTAAATAAAGAGGTAAACCGAAAGAGTTTCACACCATACACACTGGAAAACATGGTAAATTACTGACAATCATGAACGTTTGTTCTTGTGGAAATATCATAAAAAGGCAATATATCACATTTGACAGGGTTAATTATAAGAGAGTCACAGTCAGGCTTTCAGAAATTTTCAGGAATCACCCATGCATCAAGCTCCACTAGCAATCCCTTGGGAAATATTCTCCTAAGGGATTGCTAAACACAGAAATGATTAAACAAATTAAAGCTGTCATCAATCGATTAAACACATTATTGCCGTCATATAAGGCCTTGGCCTTACAAGACCATGAGGAATAAAGGGCTTTTATTTTTTTGCTTCACATCCCAATGGTCACTCTCACCATATTTTCAACACTGATCACAACCTGGACCACTTACTAGCTCTATAATCCAATGGTCTGAGACACCGTTCTGTACAGTATTTTGGGGGGAATTTCAAAAGTGGGAGAAAGTCGAAGTCACAGTTAAGCGTTTTTATTTTTTCTTGTGTTTTTTGGGGGGCACTGTACCAGCATGTCTGGTGTGTGGGTGTCGCGGTGCCACGCGAGAGGACTAGGCGGGGCAGAGTGGGCTCAGGGCCGGTGGGCTCCTCACACTCACAGAACGGAGAGTCAGCTGAAAGACAGACAGGAGGCAGGGCGGGACTTAGTCAGGAAAAGACGAGCCTGTTTCATGCAGTGAGTGTTCCCTTGACACCGAGCTGCATTTCTCCAGAGAAAGATTCAAATGTGGCAGTCTTTTGCTGTTGCCCTCAAAAAGAAAAAACTCCAGCTCATTTACTGTCCTTGAATTAATAACCATTTTCAAATGCATTGCTCGTTCATAGATATAGAATCTACATACTGGAGGAATTTCCCTTAAAATCAATGAGTGCATAACACAAAACCAACAAATTGTTCTTTAGACATATAAAGCAAACGAGTACAGCATATCTTTGCCTTCATCAGTAATAAAACCACAGAAAGGTGAGGTGCATGTGTTCGCGAGTGGAATTCAAATTAACGCCGCTCATGATTCTTGCGCTATTTTTGCCAAGAACGCTAGTTTACATATCCCTCCAGCGACGGTGGACGTTTGCGCGTTCGTGTGGTGCCTGAGTGCGAGAGCCAGCCTCCAGATGGCCCCTGGCAGCAGCCTCCTGTCAGATCTCTACAGGTGCGCGCCAACCCTCCCCTCGTCAGCCCCACACAGGCTGGCGTGCCTGGCACCGGCCCGCGCACTCAGCCCGCCTGACAGGCAGGACTCCTGGCACAGGGACACTGGCTGCAGGGCAGCCGGCACAGTGTGGCACAGGCAGACTTCAAATGGCACAAGTTGTACACACCGGCTCTTTGCTTCGGGGCATTAAAGGTTCTTGGTGTGCGCGCTAGGATGGCTGCCAGGAGACTTTAAAGACTCCCGAGTGGTTTGCTGTTCCCTCTCTTCACGACGACAGCTTCTGCAACGTGCCACCGCAGAAAGATCAATTCAGCAGCTTTTGAAGTACTGACGTCTTCCTCATTTCCCCCTTTTATCTCTTAGGACTTTGAGCACCCACTTGTTTTCTGTTGGCAGGTTTAAGACGGAATCTGTCTGTCTTCTTCTTTCTTGAGAAACAAATGTAAAAAAAAAAAACGTGGAAAAAAACAGCGTCCGAGGTATAGAGAGACGACGGGGAAACGAGGCAGGGGGAAAGCGCTTGGGAACACCCTGCCGGGTGTGTGATCGGACAACCGCCGCGACAGTGAAGAGACCTGCCGCAGGCTGTCAGGGGCGCTGGAGCTCCGTCACACCTTTCCCCTGAATTCAAACTCTCCGCACGACAATATTAAAAAGAAACAAAAACAGTATTTTATTAGTATAAAACAGTATTTCTGCCTCTGTTCTCAGAGAAGGGTTTCACGGCTCCCAAAGCAGAAAAACAACAGAAGCGAAACTCAACCTGAAACTAGGTTCACACCATCGACTCCCTCTGAAGCTCCGCGTTGTGCTCTGGGCTGCCGGTCGGAGCGCAGGGCAGTAAGGAAGATTCCCCTCACCTCTCCCGGTGCTTTGCCCTAACCGTGCTCCTGCATCAGTACCCCCCGCGGAACAAGGGCACCGGGGCAGGGAACACTTCCGGCGGGCTGAGAGATTTCGACCAGGCCTGGTGCGGAGGCCTGCAGGGGGACCTCCCAGCGCGTCTCGGCGCGGTGCCCACCTGTCCTGATGCCGCGCAGAGTGGCGTTGATGGTGGCCCGCACGGCCCGCGCGGCCTGCGCCTGCCCGAGCAGGTCGCTGCCCAGCGGGAAGGGCAGCTGCCAGCGGTTGGTGTTGCCGGCCTGCTTCCTCAGGCGGCCGCGCGGAGAGGAGGGCACCTGGGGGCGAAACACAGTCACTGGGGGGGTTCTGGGTGACAGAACCTGCGGCTGAGCGCTACCACCATCCTCCTCCTCACTCTACATTACCCCCTTGTTCTTCCTTTCAAACACTGTCAAGCGAAACAGAACACAAAAAGGACTGTAAATGTTCGTATGAATATCCAGTCCTTTGTTTCCCCGGCTATCCGTCCCTGCGAGTGTTTTGTGTTTCCACAGAAGACTGCTTTGAGCTGGTGCATCTGGGTCTAAACCTTGGCACAGAGATCTACTCGGGGCTTCTCTGTTTTGTTTTCCGAGAGAAAACACCAAAGAGCTCTTACCCTGACCTCTTCGGAGGGTTTGTCCTCTAGCGCTTTATAAGGAGCTTGCAGCAGAGATCTGGTGGCCGAAACAAGAAGGACAATAACGAGACATTATAGGCTGAACTGCAGTCCCCAAAGAACGGCTTTTTATCGGAGTCATTGAACAGCACCCCACCTGCAAAGCACAGTCCAGGCGTCTCACTTACATGATGCAGGCAGCTGCTGGCGTCATGTGTGTCGGGGGTGGGTTGGGCACGAAGGTGTTCTGCAGCGGATGACCTGGAGCGAGCCGAGGAATAGTGCCGCTGCCGTCCCGTGGCAAAACCTGAGCCATCGTCCAAGATCAGTGGGAAGCTTGAGGCACTATTTTTTACCTGCTTCTTCAGCTTTTGCGGATTGTGATAGTCACGACCCCGCTTCCCGTTTAATCACTACCACTGTGTCGATGGCTGTGTCCTAGGAGGCGGTAGGAAGTTAAGACGCTATACTTTGCGACGTCGCTGCGGTCATTCGGAACAACGTGAGACTGGCAATTGTTTCGCACGTGACACGGGAATTCTTCTGTTCTGGACTGTCATCCCCCCCACGGACTCGCTCCTCTCCGTTCCCACGACAACAGAGACGCGGTGGCTATGGAAACCTGCTTTAGACAGATTGCCGCAGTGATTAAAACCACTTGCTTGTAACATCCGTCCTTCACAGCAGTGGAAAAAGTGTAGTGTTTCAGACTGATATCGGAAGAGAGCAGTGAATGGGAAAATTAACATTGTGTAGACATTCTAAAAAAACTATATCGCATCGTACTATATCGTTTGTCAATATCGCCAATCAACCTCAAAAAGTTAATGCTATTCAATACTCATTTATTTGTTTTTCTATACAACATGGAAAACACAACAAAATACAATAACTAATATAACTGTCGTGGTTGCACGGGTGATGTGCAGTTTGCCTTCAATGTGGTTATAGATTTATTTTTTAAGAAGGCGAGTAAACTACTTCTCGGGTGCCAAGAAAATGTACAGATGGAAACTGTTCAAAAACCTCGCCACAAGAGGGCAGTAAATACCACTGTATCGTGACAGCAGACCTGGGGAATTCAATTTTCCACAGAACGCCTCCCTGTGCCTAGCGCCGGTGCTTCGCAAACTGGTTGGTTTTAAAATATAATTCAATGCAGACATTTAATTCATTCATCGCATATATTCAAGATTTAATAGTGCATTAAAAGGGGTGTCAGAATTTTTAAAATACAGTCTTAATTTCAAACGAAGAGGAACAGTTGCAAATGAAATAACCATTAATGCACTTGGTGGTCTCCAGTGTGAAGTCACTGATAAAACCAAAAACATCGACTGACCTAATTTTTATTTTACTCGGATCTAAATATGAATATAATCCAAAGGACAGTCAAGGCTGATATTTGTACGCGCAGCTATACGTTGAAACGTAAAAAATTGAGGCTGCTAGGAGTTAACAACGTAAACCCAAAGCATTTCTGAGATGTGTAAATAAAGGGGACAAAGCAATATGTATTACATAATCTTTGCTCTCCTAATGTTGCTTTTGATCACTACAGATCCCATCATCCCGTTGAATTTACGTATTAACGTCTCCTTCTAGACGCTTCGCCCTCCCCCTCTCTCCTCTTTGATTTCAATCTTAAACCGTTTCCTTCTGCCGTTGGCCAATCAGATCTTCACTCACTGGGACGCAGAACGGCGGTTTAAGCACCACAGGGCAGCATTGCGCCTTGTGATTGGACAGACGGCAGCTCGCTGCGAGGTGACGGTGGTTTTGGCAGCGAAGGAAAGAGGGAGGGGGGAACCCGAATGGCAGTCAGCGGCGCAGCCGAAAAGAGTCAGGCGAGTTTTGAGATAAATTAAAATAACAACAATAGAACTTTGAAAACAAACTTTGCTCGTCCCTGGTGACCCCGGGCTCGCTATACTACACGAAGGGATAGCCGCTGGTGCCGCTGGAAGTAGTTGCCAGCTTGTTTATATTGTGTGAGGGGGCCGAGAGAGCAGGAGGCCCAGTCGAGTGCGAGCAGAGGGAAGCGGCCGCCTCGGAGTGTGAGTGAGGTGAGTGGCCGGCCCGGAGGTTTCCAAACACGGCCTGGTGATCTCCGAGTAAACGGGGGGGTGGCTGTTGCCTTTTTTTTTGACGCAGGTGCGATCGCAGCGACGCAGCCAGGCAGTACCTTAGCGAGCGGACGCCCCCGGTCGCGGTTAAAGCCAGAATCTGTGGGGGCTGGTGCGCAGGCAGGCAGCTCGGCGAGTTTCAGCCGAGCCGTGCGGGCTGAGGAGGGGTGTAAATAACGGTGTGGAGATAAGCAGCTGTCAGGCCTGCGTGCCTCGCGGAGCGAGCGAGAAGAGCCTAGCCTCAATCTATGTCTCGGGTAGCATTTAAAGATTTCTTTCGAAAGCGGATCATTGCGATTCACGTATCGAATAACTTGAACAATGACCTGCGAGAACTGCAAGTTCAATGAAAACACCGTGACGTTGGTCGTGTTGTCGAAAGTGGGACATTGGGGCGAATTGTCATGGACCCAGGGCAGGATGGGGGAGTACAGCATTAGTCGTGTTTTCTCCCCGTGTTGACACGAAAGCTAAGAAAGCTCAATATATATTTTCACCGATTCTTAAAAATACGGTGTAGAAATAAAACCCCTGTAAGTGACGTTCGTTTTCAACACTTTAGCTAGTCTTTAGTGCTTTTATGGTTTGTAGGCCCGATGGAAAACAACCGCTTCTTTTGTATATTACCGTTATGAAGTTTATAGGATCATGAGTTGAGAGGAGTACGAACTGACCGTGATCAAGTACACATCTGAGAAAAGCACGGTGACGCAGATATCCGGCTTTCAGTCTCCACATTAATAGGATCGATTACCGCAAACTCTCACGCAAATTGATTATTGCCAATCGAAGAGAAAGTTCCGGTGCGTGCTATGTTAAAATTAAACGCTGTTTGCTTGACGGCCAGTTACCACATTGGTTGAATGATTCTTCAGTCACGTCGCAAGACTGTTGTAAGTTAAATTTAAGAACAGTCAGCTTTAGTTTAAGAAAATAAGTTGTAATTTGTACTAGTTTGAAATGCATCGTTTTTACGCTTTGACAGCCCAAAACAATGCGCTCGGGCTCACGCATGCGTACTGAGATGAAAATCGATCCTGCCTGTTGTATCCAAGTTAGCGGATGGCAAGGTGATTTAATATAACTGTATATGATTTAATTTTACAAGCAAAACATGAGTTGATTCAGTATACAGGACGTTTTGGTTTTGTTTGCTTGGTCTTTGTTTAGAAGTGAACGGATTTTAAATGCTGTTGGTCATAAGCTATTTGATGTCATACTTGGTAATGTACAATATTTGAGCAGCAGGGTTACTAATTTTAGTAGTTTTTCAAAAAGAATGTTGCGCTTCTTAAGTAGTATTACGTACGGAAAACCATCATCAAGATGCGTTTTATATTGTTTTTCATACAGAGTGTCAAAACGGTATAGTGTTTAAAAGCATGTAAATAAACCTTTTTAAAAAAATTATATAAGAGGTTACAAACAAGAAGGTGCAATTCACCTTGTCTAGCACAAGGCTACTACTTATAGTAGCTAATGATCTCAGTATCACCTTCAGCTCTTTCTGCTCTTTCTGGAGAGAAGCTATTATATCAGCTTCAGAAACGTTATTGTTATGGGCTAGCATGTTCCAGACGTCACAACTCTTAGTACAAAAAGAACCTTCGGTTTTCAGTTTTAAATGCACTTCCTCTTAGTTTCCATTTTTGTGCTCTTGTTTGTGTTTCATGATTCCAAAGACGTCGATAGGGAAGACTGTCAGCTGCAGCAGTGAGATAGTGAGATAGAAAAAGAGATTTTTCTATTGACAAAGCATAAAGTACTATTCTGATTGTTATACTTAAAAAAAATACCATATAAATAGATACCACCCTTAAATGCAAGTTAAAACGTTTTGTGAATGTGAATTGCTACCCAGTTTGACACATTTTCTTAAGTGGATTACTACTTTTTGCTTTTCTGATATGCAACAATCTTTCTAAATTGTAATCTTGCAGGTTTTTGTGATCGACCTTAGTATTGCATATATCGGATAAAACGGCTACAAGAAAAAAATCAAATGTTCCTTTCTTACACCAGACATAACAATGGAAAACTGAAACATTTCTCTTGTACAGTCTTGAACATTATATGTATTCAGTATAACTAACTGTAAAATTCGTACCCAGTATTATAAAACTTTCAGTATTGCGCAACTAACTTCTCTGCTACGTTTGGAAACAAAATGGAGAAGGGTGCTTTGGTACCAAATGCAGTGGAGTATTTTTAAGATAAACGGTGAAATATTTAAACATTTATAGTGTATCGATTTCTATAATGTCACATTGAATAGGATACCTGAAGAGAAAATGTGGGAATTTGGATCAGCATTTCAATATTGGAAGTGCATTTGTCACCAGGTCACCAGCTACGTGATATGCTTTGGCAAGTTAGTGTGCTGTTTTTTTCTGGGGAAATTTTCACCTAAGCTGTGACACCTCGTTTCTCACAAATGTTGTAAGAGATGACCTAACATTTATTTGAAGCCATCTACCTGTGAGAGATTCTCTCTGCATTTGTAAGTTTTTGCCCTTCCATGGCAAAACTGAATATTATGGAATTTGGATTGCAACTGCAGGATGTTCCAATGCAAATGTGCTTTGAAATTCAGGCTTGCCACTTCAGATTGATACTTTACTGATGAATGATTGGGCAAACAGCATTTTCTTTTAAAAATTCAATACCTACCACAACAAGAAAACTACAGAAAAAGTTATTCTCTTATTGTGGTAGTGAAGAAACTGTAACTAACATAGTAAGCATTAAATTACATGTCAAATTGTATTTATTTATTCCTCAATATATCCCTGTGGTATTTTTAGAAATAATTTCAAATATAAAGAGAATAAAATCTCTTGATTTTCATATGCTACTAAAACTGTGACATTTTAAAGGACTCTAGCATGGTAAGATGCATTAATTGAGGAGCCTAAAATACTTTGAGTTGCTGACTTTTACTTTTTTTTTCCACAGAGAATATGAAACAGAAGTCACAATGACATCAAGATTTGGTAAAACCTACAGTCGGAAGGGAGGGAATGGGAACTCAAAGTTTGATGAAGTCCTGTCCAACAAGCGGGCCACGCTCAGCACCAAATGGGGAGAAACCACCTTCAAGGCACAGCTGGGCTCCAAGAGGCCCAACTACAAGCCTGAGGTAACAGAGGCACCAAAAAAAGCCAGGCATACTGAGGATGATACCTCTGAAGACCCCTTTGGTTTTGACAGTGATGAGGACTCTAAGCCTGTCACCTCCCGCAGCATTCCCCAGACCAAGGCTGCTCCAGTCAAGCAGCCAGTGCCAGCTGTCACCACAGAGCCCCCAAGGATGGAAAAGCTGGGGTCAGTGCTGGAGGCCAATAGCAGGGTGAGCCAGCCTATCACTGTGGAGGCAGTGGCTCCCAGTTGCACACCTTCAGTTTTTGACCGTGATCTCCAGGGGCTGAAGGACAGGAGCACACACAAGGTCCCGGATGATGGCAACAGCAGAGTTTTGGGCATTAGCACCTCTGCAGGTAAGAATAAGGAAACACACATGGCATGGTGTGGTAACTGCATGTTTGGTTGTTTGGTTGTTAGTAACAAGTTGATCAAGGGATCTCATCCAGATGTTTCTTAATCAAAACCTGTGTAATGCCTTCAACAACATGGCCGGGGAGCTTGCCGAATTGTAATGATTAGAATTCTTATGCTACTACCTTTCTAAGTTAAGTTACAGGTGACCTGTGGAAATGCTTTATTGTAGATCATTTTAAAGGCAAGCAAATGTGTTTACTGGATTTCGTTTCTCCAAACCCAGGTCAGAGTATGCTTTTTATCTGCAGTAGGGTGCAGACACTTCATTCTGATTAGTCACTATCAACTCAGAGAAGGTAGTTTTTCCATTTTCAGATTGTGAGAATGTAAAACAGTGTTACATGTCAATAAAGAATACAGGCTGTGAGATCAGATCTTGTGGACATAAGTAAAATTAATCTTTTCAAAGCCTTTTAAAAGTGTTGTTTTCTGGCTTTGCCGACAACAACTACTGTGTTGAAGCATGTTGTTGTGGTTTGTAATTGAAACAAACCTTTGAAAGACACCCATTAGAAATTTAACAAGGTTCATCCAAACAAGTTCTATTAAAGGTCAGAAGCTGATTGTACTTGAAAACCATGTGACACTATAAGCAGTCGGGTCTATTCTTCCTTATTTCAGAATACTGTATTAACCATTATTTAACCAGGGTTAACCCCATTAAGGTAATTTAAATCTGTTTTGCAAGAGTCCTGGAGAGTACAGTGGAAATGACAATTAGCACTTTAACAAGCTAAATTGGAGTACTGGTAAATAAAATACGAAACAATGCCTCAGGTTGTCTCAGGGGTAGCTCTGGGCAACCTGCCCACTTAATAGTAAATCCATTAGAATGGGGTGTTTGCTCCCATGGGAAATTGGCCTCAAAGTGTCTTAAATGAACAAGAGAATTAACATTTGAGGAAGCTATTAAAATCTAAAAAGTTTCTTGTTTGAAATTTCTAGTTTAAAGCCTGGTTGTAAATGGGTTTGGAGTCCAGGGAGCCAAACTGGTGTATTTCTTTTTTTGTCAAATTAATGATTACAGTGCTGTATCAGGTTTTACATCATGTGGAGAGTATGTACTTAATGGCTGCCCACACACCAGCAGAGCTAGAATTAAACTTCTTGTTTGGAAGAATTGATTATTTTGTTAGTGTCTAATGCTATATGTAGGAATGTTAGCATGGTATTGAAAACAGTGTTACATTGAACATTCAGTTGACAATTTTGTTGTATAATATTTATAGCATTATTATCAAAATATTAGTTTATTTGTTTAAAAATATAAACGTTAAGGTTTATTAAATATTAAAATTTGTCTCCAGTCTGGTAAACTGAAGAAATTGGCATTTTTTGCTACATAAAAGTCTTGATTTTTAGTTCAGATGGGCCATTTAACAAATCAGGATGGATGAGATACAGCTTAACGTAATGTGCTTGTAAAAGTAAAACAAGATGCTAACCTCATTGAAGGATTTCAGTAGCTGATTTATTGGCATTTCTAATTTAAATTAAAATGGGTCAACCATTTTCAAAACCTACTTTACAGTTTTGCTGTAGAAGAGTCTCGTTTATCGTTTTATATATCCAAACTGTTAAGTAATTACCTTTTTGATTGCTAGCATTTTAGTGATCTATATTTTGGAGACCTTTACTAATTTTTTTTTAGCTCTTTGAGCAGCCTCAAGTGTGCAGGCGGAAGTTCAGAAGAAATTGTTTACAAGTTGAATTTTCATAGTTCAACATTGTCTCTCCACTGGGTACAGGTGACTGTTTTTCTTCCCAGCATTGATGGATTGTTTTGAAGGAATGATGCATCCTTTCCTCCCAATGCAAAAGAAAAGTGTGTATGAGTTCTTGATTGACAGCAGCAGAGATATAGAAGACAGTGAGTTCCTATGCTTCCGTGTTAATCCCTGCCCTAAATAATGATTATGCTCAGAGCTAGGGTCTTTGGCATTGTTAGATTTTGTGTAATGTGTGTTGGGTTTCTAAAGTTTGTAAAATAGGTTAGTGAAAGTATTCAATTACAGCTCAAGTTATTTTCATGACATCTTTGTTGAAAATGAATAAGAAGAGTGTCAGAAAGCATCTGCCAAGTACTGGTGGACCAAGGGAGAAAATTAGCCTTTTTTGCATTTCTGTTAAATTAAAAAAATTTACCTTGCAGGTTTATCTGTACATCTGCTAGATGTTGGACTTCTTGATCTGCTTTTTTAAAAAGCGTTCAGGTGCATATGATTTGCAGGAATAACTAGTTAATCTTGTTTGTATAGTTAAGCTAATGTTGTCCTCTTATTGTGTAAGATGAAGTATAACAGTTTGGATTAAAAAAAACATGGAAAGGGCTCTGTTCTTCATGTGCACATGAATTAATCTAAACTTTGACAAAATATTTTTAAAAAATGAAAACCTAGAGGAAAAATTAGATAAAAATAAGGAAATAATTTAATGAACTCCTGCAGGCTTACTGGTTAATTAGTAGCTGTAGGCAAATACTGTAAAAAATGTAAACATCAAGTTCAGGTTTTATGCATTTTACATCTGACATTCCAAGATAAATATTGTAGTCTAATGGTAATAGAACTTAAAAATGCCCGTTCTGTTATTATTCATTCTGACATGCATATGTAAGTGGCAGAATGCTGTTGTGATTGGCAGGTCAGAGCTATTAATTAAATTATTGATATATCCTCTCCTACTCCCTAGACTGACATTGATGGTTATGTTAACCATTGATGCTGATTGGATACATCGATCCATTGTCCCAGCCATATTATCACAAAATGTGGTTAATTTCCAGGTGGTATTGCTACAGTGATGGATTTGTGAGTGTGTTGGAGATGAGACAGAGATATCTGGGTTCTCGGGTCATGAAATCTAAATTTCTTTGCTCATTACAAAAAGTGGCTAATTAAGTTACAACTAATTGTTTTTCTTAATCAGATTTGAAATCCTAGCTTTTTTCTGAACCTTTTTCATTATAAGCATTTCTGTGCTGTATTGCCTTGCTGCCAATGAACAGCCCAGAGTACTTGAAATAGAATGTTGGCCTGATGTGATCCTGTACTGTATGTGAATAATGAGCACAGTTCCACAAGAAGACTAATTCTCATTACGGACAACTTTAATTCATAAACTAAAATACAACCATCACACCTTTCTTTCCATTAGACTGCCTGCAAGTGACAAAGTGACGTGACTGTGCACTGCCAGTTTGTCCTGAGAGAATATCCATAATTTTAGATATTTGAGTGACATTCTATCGTTTTTTTTTACTTGCTTCCTTACTAAATAAGTGTAAGTGTAACCTGGTGTAAAATAAGTTGCATAACCTCTTTGCTAGTGTTTACTTTTTGTAGTTTGCGTTCCTTTTGTTGGTTAAAACATGCAGAAAGTTTGTTAGCCCTTAGGAATTATATGGTGGAAAAAATGAGCCTTTTTTGCATTTCTGCCAAATTAAAGAATTTCACCTTGCAGATTTATCTGTACATCTGCTGGATGTTGGACTTCTTTATCTCCTTTTTAAAAAAAGAGTTCAGGTGCCATGAATGGCTCCTAAAATGTGATCTGATCTTCATCTAAGTCATAATAATAAATAAAGACAAATTATTTAACAACCAACACAATATTTTACATTGTCATATCTGTATTGAACTAATGGTTTAAACAATCAAGGTTATTGATGGGAAAAAGTATGTGAACCTCTAGGATAATGACATCTTGAAAAGAGGGTAATTGGAGTCAGGTGTTCCAATCAATTCAGGTGTGAGTTTGACCTGCCCTGCCATATAAAAAATCACACAGTTTTTGTTACTTGCTCTTCACAACAGAATTCTGTGTGCAGTATGGCCCAATCAAGACATTTCAGAGGACCTCAGAAGAAGAGCTGATGAAGCTCATAAGACTGGAAAGGGTTACAAGAAGATTTCTAAAGACTTGGGCCTACATCAGTCCACAGTCTGGCTGATAGTTTACGAATGGAAAACATTCAGCACTGTTGCTACTCTTGCTAGAGTGGGCGTCCTACAAAGATCAGTGCAAGGGCATGCCGTACAATCCTCAAACAGGTGACAAAGAACCCTAGGGTGACAGCTAAGGATCTGCAGATATTACTTGCACTTGATAATGTCTGTGTTCATGAGTCTACCATAAGAAAAACCCTGAACAAGAGTGGTGTTCATGGGACGTTACCACGGAGGAAACCACTGCTCTCACAAAAAAACATTGCTGTCCGTCTCAAGTTTGCTAAAGACCATCTGGATTTTCCACAGCAGTACTGGAACAATGTTCTGTGGACAGATGAGACAAACATTGAACTTTTTGGTAAATGTACACAGTGTTCTATTTGGAGAAATGCAACACTGTACACCAACACCAAAACCTCATTCCACCTGTGAAGCATGGTGGACGGAGTATAATGGTGTGGGGCTGCTTTGCTGCCTCAGGGCCTGGATGGCTTGCAGTCATTGAGGGACCAAAGAATTCCAAGTTAGATCAGGAAATTCTACAGCAGAATATCAGGTCATCTGTCTGTAATCTAAAACTCACAAAAAGATCTTATGCAACATGACAATGATCCAAATCATAGGAGTAAATCCAACAACAGAGTGGCTCAAAAAGAAGAAATTCCAAATTTTAGAATGCCCAAGTCTTGACCTCAATCCCATTGAAATACTGTGGCATGATCTGAAGCAGGCTGTTCAAGCAAGACAACCCACAAATATACATGAACTGAAAGTTTTGTATAGAGGAATGGGCCAAAATACCTCCTTACTGCTGCGCAGGTCTGATCAGCAGCTACAGAAAGCGTTTGGTTGAGGTTATTGGCAATAAAGGAGGTTCCACTAGTTACTATATATAAGGGTTCACATACCATTTCCGTCAATGACCTTGATTGTTTAAACTATTTGTTCAATAAAGGCATGGCAATATAAAATGTTGTGTGTTTGTTAAA